TACCTTGAAGTGTAAACTTGTTTAATAAACCATATCTTTCATTTTCGATTTTTAATTCACGTAGTCCGGGAACTTTCCGGACAAACTGTGTAATATTGTGCGATTAAATTAATTGTATAATTAAAAAATAATCGTATTTCAGGCGACTGAACCTACACAAAAACCACCAAATGTGTCCAAATGTGTATTTACCGAAGGCGGTGTAAAATGTGGCGAAAGAACTCTTCCGTCAGCTAAACATTGTCGTAAACATATTTTAAAGGTACGTATCAGCCCTCTCTATGCGGAGAGGTAATAAATATCTAAATCAAAATCGATATAAAAATCTACTCGATGAAAATGTACATCCTCGGATCAGATTATATATATATTTACCAATAATTAAAGCTAATGGATTTTTGATATAAGTTATAAGAAAACTATTTGCTAGTTTCTTTCAATATTTTTAACATAGCTGCAGTGAGAAAACAAATGTTTACTCTTGATTTTCTACTTGTACTTAATCACAGGATCAACATCAAGTTCTATTCAAAGCGTGTGGAGCGATACGGGCGGACATAGAGTGTCATGAACCTGTGCCCGTGATCTTTGATACTAACTGCGTGTTTCACATGAATCTGCCACCGCCGTGTAAATTGGAATCTATGAAGGTATTGCCAAAGCGTATTTTCTTCGATAACTCTGAAATAGATTACATTCTTGAGTGTCGTTTAATTTATAATCGTTTGTACAGTTTGAGGAAGAAAAGCTTACGCAAGAGACGTCAACGGTTGATCAGTCGTTGGAAATCGATGTTGTGGGTGAGCCGCAGGAAATTGATCCCGACGACGATATGGCGGGATTAATGAGAGAGATGAATGACTCTGCTCAGAAGCCGACATTTGCAAACGAGAGCGTGAACAGCGAAACCAGCACGGACACAGCGTTCAGTTTGTCAGCGCAGATGAGCGATCGGGACGATTTCGCCACTGTATGACAAAATGTTCTTCAGTGATTCGGTGATTAAGGTAGTATCTTTGTTGTTATATTGATTCATTGTTTGATTAATTAAAGAATCAGTGTTCGGTTCCGTGGTGATATGGAAATTTTCTTAAATATTCAGAGTGTGATCACACAATACCGGTGTAACTAATTAAGTAGAACTTATTTTCATATGTAACATAAGTTTCTTGAATCAACGAACTGTTAATACGAATTGAAATTTTGAAATCAGATCTTGTTTTTACATGATAACATATACATTCTGAACATGTTGTAATATCATTTTTTATCAAGGTCAATGATAAGATAAGATAAACAAAAACACGAATGACTTATAATTTTATTACATTATTTATTTAAAATAAAAACCACGAGCAGAAAGTTTTTCAATCTTTTATTAGTGAATTCTCTTGTTTCTTAGCTTTGCGCTATGCGAGATGATTGACATCGGTTTTATCTTCGCTTATTAAGTATTCAGATGTAAAAAAATAATAAAAAAAAATAAAAAAATAAAAAAACAATTATTAAGTAGAACGCGAACTCGTCGAACAAGACAAGCTAAATGACATTTCGGGTATTTAAATATTTAAGGCAATAGTTTATAGTACCTGATTACCTTAGATATTATTCTCAAATATTCAGTAAAACAAAACTACCTTTGTATATTTGTGTATTTAAAAATAAATATTAAGTAGCATAATATTCTTAACGTCTTCGCAGAAACAAAACTTCAATTAACTCATACTTAGCGTTTACAAAAAAATTGTATATATAATTCTTTGCGATTTACGCACACAGAACGTTTCATAATTTTGATATTACATCAATACTGTATATTTTTGAATGCTCCAATATTATTTTACTGACCACAAAGAGTGGTGTAACATAAGAAAATCATTTTTTTTCTCTCTCTTGCTCTTCAGTACAAGAATATAATAAAATCGCAAAATTATTATTATTACATTATTGTTATTTGTGTTATTTATTATTAATATTATCATAAGTGTATAATATTTGGCGAAAATAAGAATTCGTGTTATATAAGAAATATACACTTCCGATATTGTCATGTATAATATTCCTTACGTAATATTGACTCATCGAGTGCAAGTTTTTTGAGACTATGTACTTGTTTTTTTTTTTTTTTTTTTTTTTTTTTTTACGGAAAAATAATAAGACGATATTACAGAGACATTAGCTCACATGGGTGCACTATAATAATCTTCTTAAATTGCAAGAACGTAACGACAACAGTTCAGTTTTTCGCGACAGTACTATATCTATAGGCTAATTTCTATAAATCTTNTTTTTTTTTTTTTTTTTTTTTTTTTTTTTTTTTTTTTTTAAATATAATAAGACTGTGTTACAAAAACATTAACTCACATGGTATCACTATAATAATCTTCTTAAATTGCAAGAACGTAACGACAACAGTTCAGTTTTTCGCGACAGTACTATATCTATAGGCTAATTTCTATAAATCTTCAGTTAAGCCTCAACTGGTAATTGATTGGTGTGTGTGTGTGTGTGTGTATGCGCGCGCACATTGTAAGAAACGATCAGTTGTATAAAATTATCACAATTTTACTACAAACTTACAAATTACTGAAGCAAATCCATTATCTCCACCAGACAATTGATTAGATAATCAAAGTAAATGTGTTTTGTTGCCATAATTTAGTGTAGAATTTACGCAAAGTGAAGCTTTCATTTCAGTAACGTAACATAATACTGCATACTCATCATATCAATATTGTACATCTGTAACAGATGTACTGAGGATGATGATGTGAAGCGTGATAACAAACTATATTAGAAAATTTGATATTCGTTGCTATTACATGCACAATCATCTACTGTCTACGTTCTCTCTGTGATTAATTTATAGATTAGATTAGTTAGGTAAATCTGTCATACAATTCTGAAATTCCATCTTACTATAACGCAAGATTCATAACGCGCGTTGATCTTGAAAATGTGAAAAACATATAAGGGGGGAAATATCTTCAGTGCGAGTAGTTAAAGAAACAACACAAGTTTGTAAGTTCGTTTGTTGGATAATTCGACTATTGGTGTGTTCTTATTGGTATTGTACACCTATAAAAATTTGTTTATCTCAGGAAGCAATTTTCACTTAGCGATTTCAGATTAGATATCTAACACTTTGTTCGAATTAATGATCTAATTCGCGTAAATCTTCCCATTACGTTCTTCTCTCTCTAAATACACGAAACAAAAATTAATAAGTTTTGATGAATATTGAACGTTGAATCAAAGAAAAGAAAATTACATATAAATAACTCAAACGTAATAGGAAGAACTGTATTTTTAAAGATTTTTATAAAAGAGCCAATATATTTACAACATAAATCCTTAATTAATTTTAAATTACTTATAAAACTAGTCGTCAAAAATATGCTTAAGATCGTGTTCGTAGGCTGCGATAAGTAACATAATTCCGAGGCCCGCCGACAACCCCAAAGCTTGCCAAGTAAACTGCCACCGTGAGCCGCCTTCTGCGGAATGACTTGACGATAATTCTGGTATCTGAAGATAAATAAAAATGAAAATAATAAATTTGTGCTTTACAGAAATATACGAGAAAACTTCAAAGACTAACCATGTCCACTAATGCTATGTATATAAATATTCCAGCAGCAGACGCAAATACCCAACTAGTGGCAGCGGGAGCGCTACCCAATAACACTCCAACTATCATACCCACCAGACAGAGCACAGAAGACAATAAGTTGTAACAAACTGCTTGTTTAGTGCTCATACCCGCTTTTAGCAGCACCGCGAAGTCACCTGTGTACAAAAAATATTTTAACGTGAAAAAAGATTTCTTTTACAAATTCAGAAATATATCGTCTACGGAAATATATTTTACCGAGTTCGTGAGGCAACTCGTGACAAAGAACGGCGATGGCGGTGGAAAATCCACCCGCAATATTTGCCGAAAAAGCTGCACCAATCGCCATGCCGTCTGTGAAATTGTGCAAACCGTCTCCCATTACAACCATCCAAGCTACGCTAGACATGGATTCGGGAGCCGAGTGCATGTGACCTGAAATCAAAGTATTGAACAATTTTCTTCAGTTTAGAAAAAGAATAGTCAGGTAATTATGACTTGCGTGTGCGCACTTGAATATCTGACTTAAGATATGTACCATGAGAATGACTGTGGCCGTGATGTTTAGTCTCGTGTTCGCGAATAATGACGGTGTAGCTCTCAGATTCATTTAGCGACATGTCGGCACCATCGGCGTTTTTCTTTGCGTTGTTCGAGTCGTCTAGTCTCCACTCATCCTTTGACTTTTTCTCCATATCGCTGTTTACGATCTTTGTGACGGAGTTACAGTTGGAAGTCAGCGGCTTCTCTTCCTCGATGATGGGCGGTTTCTCGTGATTAATTTGACGCTCATGATGATTATCTACATATATTTCTGTATTGATTATTTTCACTTTTTTATTATGTTAATAAAAGAAATATTGAGAGACGTATAGTAACTATCTTATATCCGAATTGATACAATCTAAACTATTGCATATACATACATTGACGTGTTGTCTTGACACGAAACTATCTACTACCTTGAGTCTCATTCGCAATCTCTCCGTAACAATACGGATACGACGAGTATTTGTGTTTGCACAGCTTTTCCCCAACAACGTTGCTGTTCGGCCCGTCGCTCTCCCTCATCACTCTTATACGTGTGGGTAACTATGATTTTACTCAATTTCAATGAGTATTGAAGCAGTTAATACAAAAAGGGGATAAGGAGGGTTTTTACCTTATTCCGATGTTTTCGATGTTTTCGCCACTCGGCTGCCACGTTCAGCGCTTTCTCGGTAAAAAAGAACAGCACGAGACTTATCATGGCCACTAGCCCTTTCCACATGTTCAAAGTATGCTGATCTATATAATCAGTACTACTTTCATGACTATGATGATCGTGTTCGTGAGGTTCGTTGTGCTCGTGATGATGAGGAGGCATCATCGCCTGCAGATAAGATAAAATTGACGCGTTATTAAAGTGGTATTTCTTATTTGAGTTACGTAAAATATCGAGTAAAAATGAGAAACAACTTGCATGTGGCAATAGATGGATAAGAGCATCACCGGTTAAAGTACCTACAGCCAGCGCAACTAGAAACTGCAGCACATGGTTGTAGTAACTCTTTCCCATGGCTGGTATCACCGCTACACCGAGTAGCCCGCTAAGACTAATTATGAAAATACTAGCTGTCGAGTACACCCAGACTAGAATAGATGACGATTGATTTGTATCTTGTTGTTCAAAGAACACAGCGTATCTTTAAGAAAGAAACGATCGTTGCATTTGCTTTGTTTTTCGCTCGTGCGTAATAAATACCTTTCACGTTATTGCGCGCCGATTCCTCAGACGTGTAGAACTTGTCGACCGACACAACCGGCTTGTAATTCTCAGGCACTCGTATGCAACCGTTTCTCTCCAAACTGGACTCGGCTGCTAATTGATAAACAAGCGCCGGACAAACACGCTCGAAGAGCCAACTGGGCAGTGTTGTTGCATTGTTACCGGAAGCATAGTGCACGTCCTGTGCAACTGTGCTCAGTAATTCTTGACTATTTAAGCACTGAAATAACAGATCGGCGCAATAGTTTAAATAGAGTGACAATTAGTGTACGAATGTGCGTTTCCCACGCCACGCGTTTCTTACCCTTTCTTTATTAGTTTTACTACTTGCATCGTGTAGGCCTTTACTTGTGAAACTCTTACCGCTACCTGCAAGATTTAGTTTTCTTGATAAATTCATTAATTCTTAACATATTGGAGATAAATTAATTTTAACGCGTACTTCTCTCAGCTCCGCCGTCTTCTAGTTCCGAGGATTCGGTTAGCAATCTCAGCAGACCCAACTTTCGGACAAGTTTTTCGAAACCGTCCATTGTCACGCTCGTTCCGTCACCGTAGGCTTCGAAGATCTTGCTCATAAAGTACTTTTCGTCTACAGCTACGTCTCTTTTTAATCTAGATCTAGTAACGGTACGTAAATCTTCACTAGATTGTACAGACTTGTGATTTGCATCAGACACTTCTGACAGAATAAGTCGCTCCAGCAGCCTCGCGTCTCTCGAATTCACTGACGTGTCCAAATTGTGTGTGTCGCGCACATCTTCACTGTGTTCCATGTTGTCTGCTATCTCTTTCTCGAGATAATCATCGTGCGACGCAGTTCGCATCACATTAGCGATCACCGGCACATTTGTCTTATTATTATTATTATTATTGTTGTTATTATTATTATTATTATTGTTCCTAGTTTTATTATTAAGGTGTCGTGTGCTATGAAATCTTACATTGTCGCGTTTATTGCTAATGAAGTTATTATTCGAGTGTGATCTGTGTTGATCCTTCGAATGTGGATGCGTGTTGAGTGTGGATGGATCCTTCGAGTGTGAGTCCTTGGATCTCATTAACGTCCAAAATGGTTCTCCCTCCGCATTTAATTGATTCGTCAAACTATCCGGAGACGCGTGTAGCGCGTCCGATAGATTCGTGTGTGCCGAGCAGGGGATGTGCGCGGCACATAGGACACAAACCACGCAAACGGTAACAATATGATGGGACATGATGAGCTTCCTGAAAACAAAACACACATTCGTCATCAGAATATACGCCAACATTTTCGAACCGACGGATAAGAAAAAATTTCTCCCGGGAAATTTTTTATATTCGCGCGTAACGAACGTATCAACTTGCTAGTGCGAACTGATCTTGTAGACCTTCCAACGCAACCACGCCAGGAAGTATGTTTATCTGTATATACAAGTTTCGACGATAGTCCCAAGTACAGTCAGATAATAGAGCTCGATCAAATAATACTAATAGTGATAACAGCATTTTAATTTTTTTCGTACCGTTGCACATGTTGAACACAAATATCCGAATTACAAATAACCACACTGGCCGGAGGTTTGTTTGAAAAATAATTACAATATCTACGAAAGTGCAAAATTTAGAAACTAAGAATTAAAGTACATCTGAAAAGATATTTAAAAACCACTGAGAATTGTTATGATTCATATTTATATATCTGATAACACACAATTTCTTTGACAAACAACCGGTTGGTGAGACATTGTCATTTTAATATGTTAACAAAATACTAACCGGCGATACATCACACAACCGATTCGGGACTTATGTGGACTACTTACATGACAATCTTATTCACGAAACGCGACATGTCGCAATTGATACGCGCCTCAGGTCTTGCGAGTCAGGTATGACACCAAGAGGAGTCGTGGCGCACTTAAATGATAACGAGCGTGCTTTTAAATGTTCGAATATTTAGAAAATTGACTCGACCTCTACGCTTCGATGCTCGCGCGTATCGTCTAAAACTAATATTACAAGGCTATATAAAAAAAAGAAAAAAACGCAAATAATACGTACCCTGATCCAAGAAAACGAGAAATGGTAAAAAAAAAGAGTAACAGCTGTTTGCGCTTAAAATGTCACGTGTGTTAACTGCTTGATAATTGCTGAATTACAAGTAAAGTAAGTTATGTTTCATTGAACGTACGTTAGTTGAACACACGTTTGTTTATTTACGCGATTGTTGTAACGAGTTTGATGTAATCTCGGAAACAAACTTATCTTATATTGCCACGAGATCTTATGCAATATATTCGTCTAATCTCAACCAACTTATTCTTCATTCTTTCTCTCTCTCTCTTTCTTTCCCCTTCTCTCTCTTTCACACATCTGGTCTATTAAAAGCATTCTTGTGCATTATAATAGCCGCATAGTTGAACCGTTCAAATATAAAAATGACGATTAAGTCGATTTGCTCACATTTTTTCGTAATTAATCGTTCGATAATACGAGAAACGAGATTAAAATAATTCGCGCGCTTATCAGTGTTATGACACTTGAAATTAGTGCGTTCTCAGTTGTAGAAACTTTAATGTAAAAATTTTGATGCGATGTTCTTTTCGAAAATGTATAAAATATTTATTATTAAATAAAAACTTATTAAATATCTAATTAATCTCCGTGCGCATGTCTCGCAATTTAACGCGGATAAGTCCGCTTATTTGTGTAATAATCTAATAATTGACGTTTTTATCCTGTACGTTTTCCTCTTTAATTAACATGGAATTTTAGCGAAGATTATCAGATTTCGAGCACTCGCTTCTCAATTTTTTTTACTTTTTTTTATTAAAAAATTACAATTTTCCGGATACTTGGAAACTACTTTAAGTAGAAAGAAATGCGCGCGTCACACTCTAATCGGTAGTCAATATCCGATTGAAATTATTGGATATCATACATCGCGATACGATACGGTTGCGATAAGGCGCGATAAAAATAAATTGACACCCGATCCGCCTCGCTTGTTCGCGCGAGCGATTCGTCGTCTGCTCGCTCGTTTAGTGCCCTGTTTTGTCTGCTGCAACAAGGGCCGGTTGATTTTCACCGACTCCGATTTAATTTAATCCCCGGCCGATTAATTCCGTCGGGACTGATCGATCGCATTGATCGTTTCAATAGAAGTGACCAATTACGGTTTGCATTTAATTAAATCGATCGATAATAAAACTGTGCCTCTGCCCGCACAAAATTTTTTTTTTTTTCCCGCCTGCATCGGGACACGCGCATCATCGACCTCCCGCGTGTTTGCGAATCCCATTCAATCGCACGATAGTAAACAAATCAATCGAAGCGCGGGGTCAGTGCGCGAGATCCGAGAGATTTGTCCGGTGTGTACACACACCGCGACACGCAGAGTATCGATCCATACGGAAGCGTTTTTTGCACCGTATTCTTTTTCGCGGGGGAAGAAAAAATTGGCAAAAAAGCTCGGCGCGCGAAGGATAAAGTCGGCAAAAGACTTTGTTTTGTGCATTCTCATGGTCGCGAGAGAGAGACCTTCGCGCGCTCACGAAAGGACGAATATCGGAAACGGGCCAGGCGCCGGCGGCCGAAATAGTCGCAGCGTGCGCGCGCGCGCGCGCGCGTTGATCAGTCGTGTCGTCGTCCGAAGTCGAGAAAACCATATTTTTAGCTGTTAAAAAACCGAAGGCGGGAGAAGAAAAGAAGAGAGGAGAGTGAGAGGTGAGATGAGAAAAATCGATGGATCCAAGCACGCGACGTTCTCTCTTCCTTTTTTTTTTTCGCGCGCACCACGCCGCGATCTATGCGAAATTTAGGTTAGAAAGACGGTTTCGCACGACGAGGTCGCCGGGAATTGGCTCTCCAGCTTGAAACACGGTTGTGTCCCGAGCCGACAGGAAAAACGAGTCGGACAGCAGGTGTAAACGACAATCGAACGTCGAGGACGACACTCGGCGCCTTACGTCCGTCTAAGCTCAAATCCCAAAAACACGTCACACCGTGAAAAATAGAGAGAGAAAGAGAGAGAGACGTACTCTCACCGGTCCTGTGCAGGTAAAGCTCGTGTAGTCCGCACGAGCGACGCGAAGATGTCGTGGGAAGCCGTCGGGCGAACCAGTGCGTGTATCCGTCTCTGCGTACTACCGGTGCGTGCGTCCCCTTTCTTTCCCACACTTCCTTCCCTCTCGTTCTAAACCGACCGCTTCTTCTTCTTCTTCTTCCCACCTTTCCTTGTTGCCGCGACGACAACGAAGTGCGCCGCGCGTCAAGCCGCACAGCTTAAGCAACAAGTACGCAGCACAAAAGGCTCGCGCAACGGCGCAACGTTTGACGAGAGGAGTATCAAATGGCTGCGTAGCTGGACTTGGCGTTGCGCGCGCGCAACGCTAGCCTCTCTCTAGCGCACGCACACGCACGCATTCGGATGGGTAGGTACGGTCGTACGTGGACGATAGAGAGAGAGAGAGAGAGAGAGGAAAAAAGAAGACGTTGCACACGCCAAAAGAGTGCGACCAATGACGTACACACACGCCTTGAAAAATTGATTAAAAAAAAGAACGATGGTAAAAGTGCGCCAGCACTGGTTTATTTTACGCGTAAAATTGCTGAGTTTATGTAAACAGAGAAAGAAACAAGCGCGAGAACACTAGGAGCAACGGAGATAATATAGGTTAGAAATACAGAAATGTCAGTACATATGGGGAGATATCGGTGCAATTGCGTCATAGCTGGAAATTATCATGCAGCTGGCTCAAGACACGTAAACCGGAAGAAAACGACGTATATAAATTAGGATTATCTGTCAAATTGACAGCTGACAGTTTGAAGCGGAGCGAGATAGCTGAATTGCTACTGTCTCGCTATATCAAACAAATAGATGTCCTAGATCTGTCAAGTTACGCTACTTCGTAGGTTTTTTTATATTTATAAATTGTACAAATATATTTCCAATTGTTACAAAGATGATAAAAAATGTAACAAAAATTAAAAAAAACACAAATAAAATTTAAATTATAAAAAATATATAAAATAGCAATTTTTCTCCACAATTCAAGTTCACGTTTGTGTGTTTAATTTTTATTTGCAATAAAAAGCCGATACTTCGTAATTTTTCAACGATATCGTTATCGTATGTAACTGTTTCACAATTGTCTGGAAAGTCTGACACATGCAATTTAAGTAAAAAAAAAAAACATTCTTATCAAATTTTGTTTGCGAAGTTGCTGCAACGATTCGCGTAGTGACGATTTGCCCGGGCAAATTTGTATCTGTCAGATATAAAACTCGTTTGCAAAATTTGCAGGTTGTGTCTTTTGATTAAAAAACAATTTAGGTTCTTTCAACGAAGGAATTATGCAAGTATTCCGGGACGAATGTCAAACTGTCGATGAGAAAAAAAATGATCTGTCATTCGCACGCATTCTCCATAATTTTCTGTCGCGCTTCGAATCTTTGAAGGTTACTTACTTTCTGGCCAAAAACATTTAAAACTTTTATTGCAATTGTTATTATTAAAAAAAATTACGTAATAAAAATTGAAATATTTCAAACATTTTTAGAATAAATTCCAGTTTGACGTGAAAGAAGTTGAAAATTCCTACGCGAACGACTGCGTTGATTTGCAAAGTAAGTCGCGCGATTGTTTAAAATAATTAAGAGAGGATTCTATATTGAAACTTACAGTTCAAAAATCAAGTAGTTAAATTTTTGATTCACGATTGTAAATATTACAATAAAAAAAGAAATTGATCTTTTTCTCAGTAACGGGAATACAAAATTGCATAATTTTTGCGACATAAACACACACACACACAGCAAACTAGATAGAAAATTCGATTATATTTACTTGAATTTTTTTAGTGTAACAATTTTGTACATGTAAAAAATTTTATTACATACGAATACGATCCGTTTTTGCTCGGTGTTCGGCTTGTCGGTTTGGTTTTTGCTCATGGCGTTTTTACGCGGGCAATCGATTGCACGGTCGCAACTATTGAAATAGCGAAGCGAAAAAAAGAACGCGCGTCGTGTGTGAGCACGATTGTTAAGAGAGACATGCCTCACGTACTCGTAGCCGATTCGCTCGCGGTAGAGCTGCAAGGTAATACTCTTGGATAGACTCGCGAATACCCAAATTGTCGCGATGTTTCAGCGAAAATCGTGCGAGTCTAACCTTACACTTTCGTAAACAAAACTGCGTCTGTAATCCCGCGTGACGCAACTTTGAAGCGCGTTCGAAAAAACGAACTGTTTTTAGCAAATTATCAATTTTTTCCTCCAACGAATGATTATCACATGTTAATTTTTTTCGACATGATTTACGTTATGTCAGGATTATGTAACACATTGTGTAGAGACAATTGCTGTTCCGTTTCTACAATGAGTTTTTATTTACTGCCACAGCTGACGAACCATGGCCACAGCCGATCATTCTGTACCAACCGTACGAGGTGGAGCAGATTCTGCTTCCCGACAATGCCAATTGCCTAGCCGTGCAGGCCTACCTTAAAATGTGTCAGCTGGATTTTCAAATAGAACCGAGAAAAAATGCTGAGTTCATGTCACCGTCAGGTCGGGTGCCGTTTATCAAATGCGGCTCCAAATTGATATCAGAGTTCGACAGTATAGTGGCACATTTGGCAAGCAGAGGAACTAGTCTGTCCAAAGATTTAGACTCGGAGGCTAAAGTTGACATGAGAGCTTATCTGTCCCTTGTGAATAATGTTTTCTTGAACGCCGAGCTTTACATTTGTTGGGCGGAACCAACAATTTTAAATGCAATCACAAAGCCCAGACATGGGAGTGTGTATCCTTGGCCTCTTAATCACTATCTAAATTGGCAAAAGAGACGAGAAGTCATCAAAAAGCTCAATGTGCTCGGCTGGTATAACAAAAGCTTAGAGGAAGTCTTTGAAGATGTAAAGAACTGTTGCATAGCACTGTCGGACAGGCTAGGAGATGAGGAATTCTTCTTTGGGAAAGGGTAAGTAGCTTTTTCTTTTGTATTACTGTTTGCTCTTTGTTTCACCTGCCTAATTATTTTCAATTACAATTATGTTTTCAAAGACCCACTGAAGTCGACGCTCTAGTGTACGGCCACATTCACGCTCTCACATCACCACCATCCTTTACCTCAAACCACCAAACTAAGAACTTGCTACTGCAACCCAATTATCAAGGGATTATTAACACAATCCGTCAATTTCCCAAACTTATTAAACACATGTCTAAAATCAAGCAACAATACTTCAGTTCTGAGACAGAAAATCAAATTGCGGAAGATTTTGAAATAATTGATTACGAATCACCATCAAAGGATACTCTATGGGATGGCTTTCAATCACAGCCCGAGTCGCTTCCTTCCCTCTCCGAACAATCCTCTTCATTGTCGATGAACTGACATTGACACGAACACATACACACACGCGCGCACACAAACACTTAGCATAAATAAATATTTTATAATTTTTTTAAGTTCGTTTACAAATATAACAGCTGTGACATATATCAAGATTTTCATCCGTGATTTTGTATCTTAGCAAACCCAACGAATTGGACGCCTTGGTCTTTGGTCATATATTCGCGATAATCACAACGCCATTACCTAACAACAAGCTGGCTATGATTGTCCAGAGCTACCCAAAGCTCGTAAATCTCTGTAAACGCATCGAGATTAGGTATTTTCAGCGTACAGAGGATTAGATAGAACTTTACTCGAACTTCAGATACATCGAGCTGCGATACACCGATTACGTTCATCGTAAATTGAAGTTCCTGTGTTTTGCGACTGATGCGAATAAGAACGATCATATACAGGAAAATCTCTGTAACATTCAGTGAATTTCCTTCATAGATTTCTATCGACACAGAGTTCGATAATAACTTTGACAGAGTTTCACAACTGTCGTTTCACATCAGTTGTCATGCCGCGGGATTGGTGTATCTGAAGTGCGAGTAATTGTTCAAGCATGACATGTAGTACAACATTTAAATAACATTAGCACGTTGTTAAAAATTCTGAACATAAGATATATATTAAAGTTGATCATTCCATAAATATTTATAGACAGTATCTTTTTTAAATGCGTAATGTTGCACGTAACATTTTTTCAGCCTTTTTTCTCCTCAAGCTATAGACAGTCAGACTAATGAAACGCTGGAGTTCAAGAATTCTACCAATGATCCAACCTGTATCAAGGGTATTGAATTAAAAGAAAATGGCATTTTTTCCCTAAAATAAAAATTTAAACGTCAGTGTGTTAGGTGGTAAAATATTCAAATAAAGACCGAGAGAGGCGCAGAGGGAGTGTTAATTGGGTAAAAAATTTTCGAATGCGCAAAGTGTACCGTTGATTAAAAACGTCGTATCAATCTTCGCGATATTTATACAATGTTTTTATATATAATTATTGAAATATTTTTATAATAATTTTATATATATATGTGTATCGTTAAGCGCGTTGTCACTGTGTAGCGAAGTAGAGAGAGGGAGAGAGAGAGCAGAGAAGAAACGTTATTCTAGTCAAAATACCATTCTCCGTTTTTTACATTTAATAATGCATGCAAAACATTCTCGGGAAAGGTAAAACAATTCACTATGTATGTAATATCGTGGGTAATGGTTGTATGTAAGATCTTTTGAATATAGTTTTTCTTTATATACAATATGTGTGTATAAAACTTGTATTTCTTGTCTCCAGCGTTTCAGTTCGTACCTTCGGAACGTAATTCAGACGACTCGTCTGTTTTCGTGTTGTATCTCTATCGCATTTTTCACGTACATCTTTCAGTTAGTTTCCTCACTAAACACACATTCTAACTTATTGTTAACCAAAATCGTATCCATACTTGATGCAAAACAAAAAAAAAACAAAGACATTCAGGATATAAATCAGTTAGTACGCGATCCAAGTGATTTTTCACGAATAACAATCTGTTTTATTGTTATAATGTGTTTGTTGTGCATAATGTTTGAGAGTATAATCTTAAAGTATAATAAACACTACAGGATGTAAGATTTTTTTTCGACACTCCTTCTGATACATTATGCAGCTAACTTTTTTTTTTTTAATATCTCGATTTCGATTCTATACTCCTTACGCTATCAATTGTACACAGATTTATAATATAAGCACATATATAATCGTATTTTAATTTATATAATTATATGTGAGACACGCATATAATTATATATATATTTATATATTTATATAATTATTAACAGGATAATCATATAACATTCTTTTATTATCTTTTTTTTTGAAGATCGCAAAAATTAATGGAGTTTTTTTCTCAAGATCGCAAAGATAATAAATAATAATCACAATTGACACACTCGGGTTAGAACGAATCATGATAACAGATATAATATAGAAAAAAAAAACTTTCAAAATAAAAATACATACATATAGTTTTAATAAAGATAAATAAAAAATCTGAGATCATATTGGCGACAAAAAGAAAATGCTAAAAGTTTATATAAATTTCGCTTGTGTGGCCATCGAGTGCTGTAATTATTAAAAGAAGCTACGAGAGTCTACTATACATATAGAAGTCATATAATCAAGTTACGGGGGAGACTTAGTATTTATTTGGAAGTATATTATAAATGGAAACTATACGCACACATGCGTCCTTGCATACACATACGCACGCGCACACACAAACACGCACTTTCTTGCTTTTCTTTTTTCTCGCTCTTTCTCGCACGTGTCGTTATGCGAGATTTGATTTTTTTCTTTTTAAATTTTTGAGCCCTAAACGAATAAATTAACAAAATCGCACATATGCAACATTTTCCACTTTTACAAATATTGTTTCCCGAACAATATATACGTGAGAACAATAATTTTACAAGAATCTAGAATTATTTAACTTCATCTTTTTTATACATACCAACAGGCGTATCTATTTTGTGGAACATGGTAAAGTGATAATATAATATTGTAGCGGCTTAATTCTATATGCGCATCATGAAATAACTATTTTATATTTATTCTATTTATATCTCGAAGACGTACTTTGTATCTTCTTTTGTTTTTTTCTTTTTTTTTTTTAATTTTTTTGTTTTTTATTAGCTAAGTGATACTTTCTAAACAACATCGTGGAATTTTTTGTGTGCATGATAAATTTAAATTAATCCGGCGGTAGAAAGCTGAACAGTCGGAATTGTTCTCTTATGTGTGGCCTCACGTCACCTCCCTAAAATTGTTAAAAAAGATTAAGTGCAAGGTATTGTCAGTTACCTCTTCTTGTATTCTTCGAAAAGTAAATCCAACACGACTGAAGAAGATGACAAGAAACACGCACCCAGTTTACTAAGTTTTCCAAAAACGGCAATAACTTCATCAGCTCGTTATCCGAACGATCGGCAAACCAACTCTCTATAGGTATCCCATTTTCCAACTGTAACATAACATAAGACATGTGTAAAACTTCTATTATAGACCGCGTTCAAGAGACTTGACGCGCGACGAAATTATTTACCTGATATCCAAACGCTTGCGGACTGTTGTCGATGATTACGGTTTTGGATAGATCTCTGCCTAAAATGGACAAATCCTTGATGTAATTCCCGTTAACGCAAACACAATGTTCTCTGAAGAGACGGTATTTGATCAGTTTCCGCGTCGGATCCAGCAAATTCATCAGCTTGTTGGCGTACACCCGTTTGCTCGCCGTAAACAGAATCACCTCGTAAAGCGACGAGACGTGTTCGAGAAATTCACGGAAGTACGGTCGCGTTCGCACGAATACCGTGTACGTTACGTCTTGAAAAACCACCGGGAAGCGAAACGCCGCGTCGGACAATTCTTGCAGACTACAATGGACCAGTGTTTCGTCCTACAAAAGAAATGTGCGAAAAAGGTAAAAATGGTGATTGATTCTTTAGTGTCTTTTGAATTCAAAAACTGCACAAAATAGCTTTATATATATACTTACAATATAAATTTTTCTCAATTATCTCATTTTGAGAAAGAAATGTATATTCACATAGATTACGTAAACGCGCATCTATTCCTTTTTTTTTCTCAAACAAAAGGTATGTATATATATATATAATACTATATGTATTGTATATTGATGAGGTATACCAGATCTAGGACCAGACTAAATTCGGGACTGCTTCGTGTTTTGAGCGGCAAAGCTGGACATCTGGCTCTCATAGCGGGCGTGAGCGGCGGCAGGTGCTTAATGAAGACGTAAGGATCGAACGGCTCCCAGTCCTCCTGAACTTGAGTAACCATATTTGCTACATCACAAGATTCTACTATCTCCTCACTACCCACCTCCATATATTCGATCTCGTGATAACGACTGTCGACGTCCTCGGAATCATATTTGTCACTAAGATTGCCATTCGTATCGGATGATGGATGATGAGGATTTATACTGTACATACTTGCTGGTATACTGTACTTCGTACTGGAATATCCAGCAGTAGTTTCATACTTTGTCGCCGGGTCTGTTTCATATTGGCTTTTTGAGAGGTCACCGCGGTTTTCATTGTTATCGCTAAGTGAGTACTTGCCACAGTTGGAAAAATACTTGTCGCACGATTCGTACGCGGTGCGACTGTTGTACAACGACGTCGAGTGCATCAAACTGTAATATTCCGTTTCGGCGTGCGGATACAAGGAAGAGTAATGTAGCGACGACGGTAATGTAATATCTATTCAGAATAAAAGATAATAAAAATGTATGAGTGTTTTTAATTTATTTAGCATTTTATTTCAGTTGAACGCATGTTATCGGGAATTTACCGTTGTTTTTGGTCCCGTCATCGTCTAGCAAACACGTGAGATCCGAATGTGATCCTAGAGACACCGGGGGCATTAGACAGGTCAACGAGGATACGCTAGGTATGGAAGATTTCAAATCATGTACCGGCGGTATCATTGAACTGCGTGAATCCGCATTTGTTACCGACGAACACAGAGGCAAGGCGGATCCACCATTCCAATTTTCTTTAGATTCTTCGGAGATTTTGGAAGATGCGGTTTTCGCGGACTACAAAACGCTGTTATTAGTTTTGGGTTCTACACACAAAAGTGAATATACAAGTTTGTCATATGTGAAAGTCGCTTACGATAACTGCATCTATTGGTTGCGAAGCACGATGCAGAGGAGTTGAAGTGAAAATTGACCGTTTTATGCATTTTCTTCTACGAGGTCCTCTTTCTCGTCTGATAGGTGTGGATTTGGCAAAATGTAGGACATTTTCTTTACAGGCCTACAAAGATATTTTTCTGTTTCGTATCTTCTCTGTGTTGTGTAATTTTTGTTTTGGTTTTGTTTTGTTTTGTTTTTTTTTTTAACTTTTAATCAGCAACCGCAGCTTATTTATTAAGTATTTGTTTTAAAAAATGAAGCATAAACGACCTACGAAGATCATTCGTAATAAGCATGCAATTAGTACACTTCTGTTTAACACATGAAGTGTAGAATAAACTGACTGTATCGGACACATATTCAAAGTACAATCTTAATTTTCTTTACATCGAGTTTATAAAACTTACCTCTTTTAAAAAACTGGATAATCTGCGTCGCCATTGAGTCAATCTGCTGCATCTATTTGACGCAATTGCTCGACTGCTGTTACCAATATAGGGCACCTTCCGAGCGGTGCCAACTTGTGTTCGATGACTAGCTGCTTTTGATGTAGACGTAATGCTTAGACGTCCACGTAATCTTCTACTAATTCGCTCGCTTCTTAGCCACATTTCAACAAAGTTACTAAGTATCCTAGAAAAATATGTAACATGTAATTAAATGATAAAACGCTTCCCACAAGGCTTATACAAATAATGTGCAACAAATACAAGTTCAAAATTAATAAGATTTTGCTCTTGTTTCTAACAACAAGATACTCCTCCAATATTTGTTTGCAGAAATATTTCATTGCGTTTGGGTATACGACACAAACATAAAATGTGATTATTTAAAACAATGTACACACATGCACGTATAAAAAAAAAATGATTACATTAAATTGCAATAAATCTCGGAGGCCGTTTAACGCCGCAAAAATGTCACGGCGTGACACAGACAAGAAGTAAAAGAAAAATGCGTAAAATAAATTGCAATTTCTGCAATTTTGTTCGCGAAATTTTTTCACGATGGAAAATCCGTGGAAACGTCGCGCTATTGACGTCCCGCGCCGACCAGAAGATTGCGCGGGAAAGAAGTTCGATCGTTTCGTAAAAAGGGGCGTTCCACAGGCGCGCTTGTGTGTGCGTGTACGCAGGTGTCACATACAACGGTGTGTATACGTGCAGTCGAACACACAAGCGCGCTTAACACACACACACACACGATGAAGACTATATCGATTTATATGCGGCGCAATGTGCCTATGTATGATCGTTCCGACAATTTCGCCGGGCGATTCCTTGGTTAATCACCAAGTCGACGCGGCGATGCCGGGTTCGAATTTCAAAGAGTCTTTACCTTTCCACGATCGAATGCGAGTTAGAAAGTGCGACGCAACGAAGTCTCGACGACCCCCCTCGGGAAGAGAGAGAGAAAGAGAGAGAGAGAGAGAAAGAGAGAGAGTAGGCGTTTAGATAGTACGGCGCTGAAAATCCGCGCGAAAATCGGCCGCCGGTCGCGGTACCGCGACCCGGCCCGTCGATGTTAGCGGCACACGCTGCTGCTTACCATGTTCCGCGAGTTCAGCGGCGGCCGACGCGCTCGCACGCCGGCACGAACGGACGCACGCGGCACGTCTCACACGCGTTTCATTCAAATCTCGGTGGCTCGCGTTCGCTTATCATAGCTACGAACTACAACAAACATGGCGATAGCGTCACCGCGAACGGCACCCGCGGTCTCAAGCGCGCCACCGCAATTCCGCGCGACGACTCGTTACAATCGCCGCCGATTACGCGCCGTTTTTTCCCGTTCGAACGACGCGCGAGATAAATTGAAAGATTTTCGTCCCGAAGCGATGATTAGAAGTTGTTCGATTCATGTTCGATTGTTGCTTTGAACCCGAACTTCCGGTTACGGCGGGGGAAGGAAAAAACGCGCGTCTTCCGACTTAGGGCTCGTGTCCACAACGCCTCGGAGATTGGTTCGAGGAAAAGTTACTAGAACTCGAACCAATCGCACCAGTCGACCATCCGAATTGACTAATAAGCGTCCGGTTGTGTTTATTAATTCGAGTTTATAAATATTGTTTTCATATCCGAGAAATTTTTAAGAACAATTTTATGACCATCGCGAAACTGCTTGTTGCGCGCAGGTCGTGTATACAATTTTTCTAAAGCGTCGATTGGTCATGAGATAGAGAACTCTCGGGACATCCAAAAGTCACTATCGTTTGACAAATGAAACATCAACGTTTACGCCGATTTGCGTCACATGGCCGCGCCAGCGTATAAAAAAAATGCGTTCATATCAAAGTGGTTCGGCAAAGTGACGGTCACTTGTGCCGGAGCAGTTGCGCCGTTGCGTGTGTTGTTCTCGGGAAGTTATACCATTTCTCTGGCACAAGTGAGTTCGAAGATACCATCGGCGGTGATGATGTCACGTAAATGAAGAAGAAAATTGAATCGTCACTGGAAACTGTCGTCAGTGTTGCTTACTCGACCGGGCAACTGTCTTCAATTTGTATGCCATAATGGCTCTTAGCCAGACGAGCGTAGTAAGTAAACGAGCGACGTGTAAACTTGTATACGTATACGGAACTTCCACCGTCTCTGATCCGTCTTATCTTTTCCCTAAAGTAATTTCGGCGCAATATTTTCTTTTCCCGACATTTTCAGCGTTTTTAAACGATTAATTGTTTAACGCCTAATATTTTTTTTAACCATTTTTTTGCTTAATTCTTTATTATCACTGTTATTTAATTGTTGGACTGAGTTTTTCATCGAGCCATAAATTACAACATAAGTCTGAAGTATAAATATTAATAAGTAGTGATACAACTGCTTAATATTTATATGTTGGACTATCTGTGAATAAATTTTTAAAGGTTTTCCTTGTAAAATTTCTGATATATATGCAGTTTGAAAGATGCATTGGAAAAAAAATACTTATGTAACAATTTTTATTAGTCTAGTCTGATTCATATAATTGATTATGTACTAATGTGATTCATATTATTAAAGCTTATGCAAATTCATTCAGATTGTATTGAATATTTTTAACATATTTGTCCACGAGATGATAATTAAGTTAAATACAAATTGTCTTTCAGTTAAAAATGTACAACACCGTGATAGAGGATGTGATAACAGGAGTACGAGAAATCTTTATAGATGAGGGTGTAGATGAACAGGTTCTGCAGGAACTCAAACAATTATGGGAAACAAAGTTGATGGCCAGTAAAGCTGTAGAACTGAATCCAGATCCACCAGAGCCTCAAGTTCCTCCAATCAACACACACAAGCCTGTGTCAAAAGGTAAATACTACTAAAAATTGAACATACTAGCAATTGTTCATCAGATACAATAAATGTCATCAAAATATTTTTTATTATAAAATTAGAAGTAAAGATATTTAATTGGGTAAGATGAAACAGCTAATATCAGTAGGAAATTATTTTGTGCGATAATTCTTTGGAAACAGTGCAACCACAGCAGCAACAGCCACAGCAAGCTCAGGCGCAGGCACAACAAGCATCACAAGCTGTTGCTACAGGCTCAGCTTTACAATTACAGCAGCAACAGCAACAACAACAGCAGCAGCAACAGCAGCACCCTGTAACAGTGCCTGTGCAACAAGTGGTGAATTCTACCCCAGCTGCTGTTTTAGAGAGACAAGTACCCTTACAAATCACCTTGCCTGCATCAGCTGGCAGTAATGAAAGTCCGAGAGTCTTAAGTATACAAGTTCCTGCATCTACGCTTCAATGTAAGAGACTTCGAAATTAAAATAAACGTGATAGTAGGCTGTTATGAAACTATTTTATAAAATATTTTTTTTTCTCTTGTTGACGTAAGCTGGTATAAAAAACATTACAAATTAAACAAAATGACATGTTTTTTCTTTTCAGCAAACCAGCTGCACACGATCTTAACAGGCCCGGTAATTTCTGCTGCAATGGGTCTTCCGACAACTTTAGCTTCGACGCTGTTACAACAACATGTAAATTCCACATTAGCGGGACAAGCAGCATTAACTCCGTTACAAGTGAATCAACCTCTTCAAGTGGTCACACAAAATAATAATGCCACACAAAGACCAGCTCAGAATCAAGTAAAATAATTTATTCTTTGTACAAACATGAAATGTTACAGATAAAATATTGCACATACTTTAAGAAGATATGTATCATTGGTTTTTCAGCAAAATATAAATCAGTTAGATGGTGCAGTAGGTGATTCTACTGATGAAGATGACGATGATGAAGAGGATAACGATGACGACGATGAAGATCTTGAAGAAAAAGAAGAGGAAGAAAATGAAGAGGCATCGGCTCGCGAAGAGGTTGATACATATATATATATATATATATATCTATAAATATTTGTACAAAAATAAAGATAAATTTTTCCAATATGATTCGAAAGAATTCTACAATGGAAAACTTTATTTTAGGAGCCTCTAAATTCCGAGGATGATGTCACGGATGACGATCTAACTGATCTTTTTGATACTGACAACGTAGTCGTTTGTCAGTACGATAAGGTACGAAAATAGTGATTTAACGTGTTTACCTTTGCGATAAGTAATTTGATACACATGTTTTCGCTTTTAGATCACGAGGAGTCGGAATAAGTGGAAGTTTTATCTGAAGGACGGTATCATGAACTTGGCTGGGAAAGACTATGTGTTCCAAAAAGCAAACGGCGATGCTGAATGGTAATTCTGGATGTGACGTGTGTAACGTGTTGTTGTCTATAGTGAGCCTGACCCGGACACAGAAATTAAACTTGATAATGTGTGTTTACTCGAAACCGCATTTGAGGACTAATCTCTATGATGATTTTTAAATTAATTAATTAATTGTGAAAAATTGTCGCGTGAACGAAAACGGGCAATGAATCGAGAGAACAATGATAAAAGTTGCCACATTATCATGAATATCAAATACGTGTTACATTTTAGCCCTCTCCAAAGAGACCTGAAGTAAATAATCGGAAATCGGAGTGCTGATTTCAGGAATATATGTTTGTCGAATCTATAATTGATCTTGAGAAAGAAAAAATCAAGACTCTCGTCAATGTTTTATGTGCTAGTTATAATATTGAGATATTTGCATAATATTTGCAAAGTAATCGTTATAATTTTTTGTTGAGAAGTGTTCTCAAGACTGAAAGCTTGTGCAAGTTGGATAAAGACGAGATGCGTCCTGTTTTGGTGTAGTGCAAATTGCAAAAATATTTAATAAAAATTAAACAAGTTATATTGTTAACGAGAACTTGTTCGTGAACCTCAAGAGAATCATTCTACAAAAAAAAAAAGATATCAGCTTTTACCTGATCAAAAGTGGAAGTGAGGACGCTGTACGAAAAATATCACATTGATTGCTAACCGGGATACTGTGTACGGATTCGGTACATCACAAATACTGACCAGGAAAATATTCTATATATATATTTACTTATATAATGTGTATAATATATATGATGCGTATACTACTTCTGTAAGAGATTCGAGTTTGAGATTGAGATCGCTTCGAGAAATGAAGAAGAATCAAGCCTGCAACTTTTCATATATTGCGAATCTTTGCATCGCAAAATATTTACACGCCACAGTATGTTACCGATAACGAGTTTATCGTTGCAAATTGCAGAATGAGAGAATAACTGGTCTGTCATGACGCGTGTATTCTTGGTATTCGCGATAGATGAGGAAAAACGAAGTAAGATAAGACGAAAGGGTAGATGGATAGTTTGTTTTGCGACTATAAAAATAATCACTCATAAATTATGCCTTACCTTTTTTTTTGCGGTGATAGAGATTCCGTCACGGAAGTAAACTTGTAACATCTTGAAGAAGTAGTATTCTACATACATATAGTGTGTATATAGGTACATGTACACTGAAATGAATTATGAATTTCTTATGCGGAAAATGTATGTTAATGTTAATGTAATTCATTTTTTCCTTTTTTTGTTACGATTTAAGTAATGTTGTGTGTTTTTGACTTGACAAATTTGAAATGATTACAACTTTACTTTAGTGTGCTTGCTTTCCAACAATAAACACGTCTTGTAGCAAAAATTAATAACTCAGTTTTCTTTTGTAGAAGAACAGAGAGAGATTTAATATATATTAAAAAAAAAAAAATTGAGAAACTATGCCAAATTACAAATGTGCAATCTTTATGTGGTCTATCTTATATTATTTTGTCGAGAACATCTCGAACAGGGTAGCGCACAGTTCAAATTTTTCTAAAGAAGAAGACAGATTCCTAAAAAGGAGAGAGACACGTATACTTTTTTGCGAAAAATTCAATTAAAGTTATTTATAAAATACAGGTGTTCTCAAACTAATAAGATCGCTCTCTTGTGACATTTCAAATCTACTTCGTGGAATGAACAACTTATCCGAGATAGCTAACTCTGCACTGGAAAGTTCATTCCAATGCTCAGAGAACGGCCACAGAAACGAGACTGCTTACGCATTATTTCTTTCTTTAATGATGATTTTTTCTCGTCTTAAGTTTCTGTCGCTTTTTTCATTATTCTCATTGGATTGAGCATTCTAGTACATACCACGTATAACAGAGCAGTTTATTGATCTAAAATATGAAAACAACTTAAACCGAAAAGGAATTGATTCGATTTGTTTTAATATATTTTTAAATAGGTGTAAATAAAATAATACAGGGAATAACAAATGTAGAGATATTGTTATTACGTTGCATTGTAAGTAACCGGACTTTTTTCGAGTTTTTCTTCAACTTTTAGAATCATATATTTCACCTGGTATTTTTTTCAAGTTAAAATGTCTTTTGATCTCTTATATATCAATGTATTTATTCTTAGTGAGGCACTTATTCTTTTCATTAATATCTGATGTGTGTTAAAGGGCATTTTAGCGTAAAAACTCATCAATAACTACATCATGAAATGACAAGCATTGAATATATGATACTTTTATACATATATATATATATATGTATTTAATTCTCCGTTTAATATATGTTATAATCAAAGACTGAAGCATGGGCGGTCCTAGGATTGACTGGTCAATGCGCGGAACGACCAAGTGTTTTGATCAAAGCCCGAAATAGTTGTGTGTTTCGGCTTTTAACTGGTGTGTTTTTAGTTAATCCTAGGAGTGACTAACAGCTGACTAAAGTTAAAATAAAAATCACTTCGGACTTTTACTAGTCAATTTTAGATGTGAGTTAATTCGGATTTGGACCATTTCGGACCATTTTTACCAAAACGCTTAGTTGTTCCGCACATTGACCAGTCAATCCTAAGACTGCTTGTGTTTCGGACTTTGACCATAACATATTTAACTCTACAAATGTTTAAATATATTGTCCAAATCAATATATATATATATATATATATACATATATATGTACTTATCATGATTCTTGTCGCCGTATATTAAAACGAAGATACGAAACATGTTTAATTTAGCCACATTATAAGTACTTTACGGATTATTTTAAATTTTATAAGAAAAGGGTTTTAAACATGAAATATTAAGTTTTACCAGAATTACTGTATATCAAATATAAAAAAAAAATAAACACGTCTGTATAAAAGATTTATCTGAAACACTTGTAAAACGAAAATATTTTCGATGTTGAACGATATGAAATCAGCACGGTCGAGAATTTTGTGAGATTATTATTTGAAATTTTTCAAATATACATTTGTAAGAATGTGTGTGCCTACAAAATAACTTTATATACACTATTTTCTCTATTCCTATTATATAAAATGTATGTACGACGAGATGTGGAATTCCTTGGTAGGACAGATAGTAAAACATTAAAAAATAGTACAAAAGTTTAACTGGCATGTACTACAAATATCATATTGTCCTATCCTAACCTCATGCTTATACACTTCAGGATACTTGGAACAGGTTTTATCTTTATAGTTGAAGTTATATATACATACACACACACACACACATATATATATATATATATATACATACACATTTGTAAATAAAATTATATATATAAATATTTGTTTTTGTCAAATATCTTATCATTTATTGAAATTTTATAGATTCGGCTTACTGTGTGTTTTATTTAACACCCAATAAATATACATATAAATATGTGTATTTTATATATATATATATTATTGAATATCGGTGTCATATTTTATAAAAGTGGGATATATTGATGAGTAATATGTTCCGTGTCGATACTTCTTTATATGATTTCCTATTCGTGTTACATAGTCCGCCAATGAGCTACGTTGCAGAAACATTTCACTATTGCAAAATAAAAAGTTTCAGAGAAAATTTTATATTTACGCTATCCGACTATACAGTTTCTATGAGAAAATCAAATTTATTGCGTCTTTAGAGATATAAAGAATTACATAAAATTGTACTAAATATTATTTAACAATTGTAAAATTTATTTTACTATCTACAATATTCAAACATTAAAAACAAATTGTAGTATTGCTTACGAAGTGCGACCACTCGCAAGAATAACATAGATTATTGTAATTATTTCCATCCCGGGGAATGTGTACATTTACATATAGTGTAATTATATTCCCTCTAATAACGAAAATTGCAAATCACATGAACCTGCGCCTCCACAAAATCGTCCGCATATGTAACTCGATAACAGATAAAACAAAATTCAATGTGAAAAAATATCACTAATTTGAATCACTTCATTTGTTAGAGCGCGTTCCCAGTTACAAGCTACCGAGGCACTTGATACTTCTTCACAACAAACTATGAGAAACCAAACAATTCGTAAATTGTTCACTCGCAGATCGCAGCATGTACTCCAGAGAGATGTGTATTTCTCTCAAGATGAATGAAGAAAAAATCCGTTATAATTCGTCGACCCATACGACACGGAACAAGATAATATCACTTTTCTCTCATTGATCAAATAAAAGAATAGATAGTGTGGTCCCTCACATAGCGGTCTCGAATAACTCGTCTTTGATGTTATTTTCAGAGAAATCAGTATTTTTTTGATTGGCACTAGAATCAAACGTATTTACGTACGTAGTTGAGTCGGTGGAAGCGGCGGCGTTCTCCACGGAAGTCGAAATTAACGGTGACGTGTCGTTTCCATTATTTTTCAATTCCGTCTTTTTCTTTAACTGTCCCACTATAGTGACATAGTTGGCAGGCACTAAACCGACACTTGCACTGTCAGTGGCTAACCACCAACCAGACGAGTTCTTAGGTTGAAGAGATCGTGGCGCCAACCAGATCTTCTGACCAGCTCTCAAATTCAATTCCCCGCTAGACAATGATGTGAAATCGTATATCGCGGTTGCTACGCACACCGGATCCTCGCATTTCACCCATTCTTTCGGATCGTCAACTGCAAGGTAATCGATAAGTAACTGATACATGCTTTCATCTTATACATTTTTAGGAATTCAATAATTACCTCGTATTTGAGACAGTCTTAAAGAATTCGACAACTTGTGAATTAAAAATGGAATAGATACGAACACACCGAAAATTAGGAAATTCACAAACGGAGAAATCCGTCCGTTGCCTGGTAGTATCTGTTCTCCGTTCGAGACTTGCGTCACTGATTGCTGCCATAAATTTTCACTGATAGCGCTCTGTGTTTGAACACCTAAAAAAAGGAAATAAGCATTAGAAGTGATGACTGTGCACAGAGCAAGTTGCCGAAGTCTCAATCATGCAATAAGCTCACCAAGCATCATTAAAACTTTTCTATAAGCCCATTTCAAAACTCTGAGCAAAGCAAATGTGCTGAAAAGCTGCCCAATTGTTGAACGTAATTTGCCAATGTTATCTGCCACACTCAAAATTGCTCTGAAGGAACTTGTTAGAGCAAAATACGTTGAGTCCAATAACATTGTGATTGATGAAAATGTATGTAGTATGGTCTCTACTACAGAGAAAGTCGATCTTGTACTTTCTTCTAGATACTGTTGAAATCTAAAACACACATAAAAATTCTGTATTGTTTTATATAATTTTTAATATAAAATATCTTCAACAAATATATTTTTCAAAGTTACTTCTGTATGCAAAGATTTATTATTTTAAATAGTATACCTATGTTCCGCATCACCACTGTATCCACCAATAGATCCATAACTGTTACCAGAATAGGGCAAGTAACTTCCAAAAGAACCATATCCACCATAACCCCTGTAACCACCTCCATATCCAAAGTTTCCATAATTATAAGTAGAATTATATGGCCTGTATCCTACATAGTTATCAACTGATTGGCGAGGTGGTAATGGAGGTGGTATAGCTCCAGTAGGTTGAAAGGGTGGAGATGATCCAGGTAGGCTAAACATATTTGACACATAAAAAATAAGTTTATAATAAAATATTCTATTATATATTGTCATTTATATTCGTGTTCCCTCTGACCTTTCTCCTCATCAGTATATTTAATTTGGTTATATTATACAACAAAATTGCAATGCAAGATTAAAATCTTGGGAAATAAAAGAAAATGAGCTACTGGAATGGCATTAATTAAATACATGTACTTTTTTTTTTTGTGAATACATTAGAGGTTTCTTACCTCGACGATATGTTGGAATTTCTCAACTGATTGCTATTCAAAATATTGTTTCCAGGTGCCATCGTAAGAATCTCAAGTTGCAGTCGAATTGACGAATTGCAAAATATCAGGCAAAATTTTTTTACATGTAACAACACAGCATATCGTAAATTCTTTTTAGTTACCGTTCAAAGTTCACGTTTTATGTATTCTACTTGTCAGCAACCGACCGACTGATGGCTGATGATAACAAACAGCGTGCGGAAGAATTTTCTTACTCTCTCGCTCTCATTTAAATAATCAAAAAGAAGCGTTTAAGTGACTACGAACGCGTTTTACGTGTTTCTGTCAAGGAGCGTCGTGATGTCCACGTTTTGCGCACATGAACTACACGAACCAGACCCGTGTGTAATGAATAAAAATTAAATTTTTCCGATTGAAGAAGTGGTTCTGTTCCGTGCTATGTGTGCGCGCGCATCGATTCGATATGTCGAGAATCGCAACATCGCGCGCTTCGATATACTCGGAATTGGCGGGCAGTCATGGCGGACGCGCGACGCGTAGCGGATCTACGTCTGAATTCGTTCCGCATTTCTCGCGATTGTTGTCGTTTCGCGCGCAAATACTTGCGGCACGCGAGCGTCGCAAAGTATCGGACGTTTGTGGTGACACACAAAATTGATACGATCGCGCACTCGCCGGTAATCGGCATTACGGTAAAATCGTATCGCGGCGAGAAACAAAATGGTCGACGCGCGACGCAGAACAGAACGAATTTTACACAAAACGCGCGATTGTCCGGCAAAATTTTGAGCAAGCAGCGTTCTGATCGCAATATAAACTACAGAGCGGAATAAAGTGCAATCAGGTAATTGCATCTAGATCAACATTGATTGTTTTAATAATTTTAAAACTTGGAAATTTACATGTTTAGCTTTTACTCCTACAGATATGTATAATACCGCGAGTTGCCGCGCATGTCAATTCAAAGATTGGGATAGCGGCTTTGAACTCAGAAAAGGGAATGTAAAATGAAACAACGTGCATTTGCATACAAAAGGTACAAGTTTTTATTATAAAAACATTTTATTTCAACACATACACAAAAATCTATATATTTAAGTCCAATATTTAAACTGTTCTCACTCTCTATGATTTTTAATATGATAGTTTGATGAATTTTTGATACTTTACATTTACTGGATAAAATAACGTGCAATCTAGTGATCATCTTCTATTTTAGTCAAGTGATGTAGAAAATAAGCAGAGTTTGTGAGTGAACGTACGCTCTCTTCACTTTTATATTTATACCCCTATAGTCGGTTATGATCATTAAAACAAAAAACGGGTATGTGTAAAATACACGCGTGTAAAACTTTATCATGATTAAAATTATTCTCCTGATAATTATGGCATTACTACGATCAAACTTAACATTTCCGAACTAACCGAACAAATACATGCACAGACATTTTCTGATAAAATAGCAAGAAAAAAATATCACATAAGAAACAAAATTAGTATTATTACGTTAAATAGTATTGCATTCAAGTTTAAAAACGAGCTATCGTATATTCTACATAATAATACCTGTCTGATTACTTAAAAAACCATTTTGTTTCGATATTGTGTTCATATTTTATCATACATTATTTTTTTTTCCTTATATCTGTTTCATTACTTTGAATAAATTGTACGAAGCTATTTTCATGAAGGTACATATAATTGGTATTGAAAAGTGCGCACGCGTCTCATATCTCGACAGAACAGAATAACGCCACCAATATTATTTTCTTATATAACTGTTAACCGTTAACAGGTTTCCATATTCATTCACCGTTAATGTAAAGACTGATATAGTGTATTAACTAATAATTTGAACAGTTTAAATATTAAATAATAATTTAAACATTATTTCATACGTTTGTCTTTTGTAAAAATAAAAAGTAGCGTAGCATCCCCGAATGTTTTTCAACATTTCTTATGAGATCTTTTTCTGAAGCGATCTAACATATGTTTTCTCATTTCACTTTCGTATAAGAAACGACTACCACATATCTTAACAAAAAAATAATATCGTGCTATTAATGTTTTACATTAAATTGCAAACGGATTTTGTTATGCGTTTGACTTATATGTGCGTATAAAGTTATTTTGCTCGCAAATAACTTTTTACATGTATTGCATTATATTTATAAATTATTGATGACTCCTCACGTAACTTTGGCGCTTTATAAGATAATAGAGTATTGGGTTTAAGATTTTGTAACTTATCTAAAACAAATTATTATCTTATCGTTAATGTTTTCACATACAACACGTAATGAAATGCTGATACTACCAAGAATATATAAACTAATAATAATGTAATTGTTTCACTGCTTTATATTCTACTATGTTTTTTATATATCAAGTATTTACCGTGTTTCGATTCGATTCACCTTGCGTCGTCTCAAGTACGAACTGTAGTGTAGGACATGTGTCACATGTAAGCGCGTATATATTTTCTCGGTTTGATGTAAAGTTCAGGTTGCAGATTACGCACACTCTCACATTATCGTTGAAATACATCATGAAAGTTGTTTGATAACTAATCGCAGATTAAAAAGACTTCAACTTTTTGGAGACAAATACTTTGGTTTTATAGAAATTATTAATGTTTGTTGTGCGTATGTGTCATAAAGACGTACATCTATCACTTTGCTGTGTATAAGTAACCTTAATATTTACTGTTTTCACATTCAAAGTAAGAAATAAACTGGATACGTACTTGGCGTTACTCTCGGTTACACACATATTACTAAACGACCCACACAGAACAAGAAATCCATTAGATGTTCATTAGATATTCATACATCAACAACTACATGCGATATCTAATAGATTTTTAATAGAGTGCTCTGTATGAGGAATTTTACTCAGAGCCAATTGTTTCACTTCTAGATAAGTTTTTGATAACTTTATCTAGAAGATATCTCTCAAAATTGGTTTTTATTGGTTCTCAGAAGAATTCATCCAGAAGGATAGCTATCGAGAGGTATGAAGAAATCGGCCGTTCAGACGAATATAAACAATGACTAACAAACAATCACACGTGTCGATCACTGTTAACGTCTGATTCGCAAATGAGAAAATAAACACAGATCTGTCATCAGGTGCGTATCACGTTTTTTGATATGATATATGTAGAATAAATTTTGTTATTATATATATTTGGTATGTGTAATTTACATTTATTTTTTTTTGTGCAATTGTAATTTTAATTACATATCGCGATAAGAGTTATTCTTTTCTTTTCTTCTTCAATAAAAAGGCGTATTTCTATTGTGACAAGAGAGAGGGAAAAAGCTTGTTGTGTGTGTATGTGTGTATCTTCATTCTTCGAACATTACTCATTGGTAGATATATATTTATGTGACTTGTACGAGACCATATATGACATAGAAAATGCATTATCACTGTTTCTTTCTATCATGCTCCTTTTATTATCGTGTCTCATTCGTAGGCAAGAGTAAGCGGTGCCCGGCCGGTTTTGTACACGCGCTATCGCGCATCAGTTTCACGAGCCAAGTACTTAGCGCCAAGCGAAACGCGAATGGAGATAAAGTAGAGAACGTAGTAAAGAGGCGTAAACCGCGGTCGCTCACGGTGCACTGCTGTCGCCAATGGTCCGTGCCGATGTGACTCCGCCTCTTAAGCGTGGCCGGCCTCCTTCTCCAATCGTTCGGCTTTACTGTGATCGTTCGGTTGCGCTTAGTTGAGCGTGCGCACGAGCGTTTGTAAGAGAGAAGCGCGCGCGCGCGCCCAAGTGAATGTGCACTCACACAATGGCACGTAACTTGCGTGCACAAAAGATGCCTCGGGAGCCCGAACCTGTGTTTTGTATGGCGATCATCCACCAATCGGCTTCCCAACCACTTGTGGTTCGTCGGAGCCTTCCTATCGAGAGGAACCGCACGTTTCTATCCTCCTTCCGTCTCGTTCCCGCAAATTGTTTCTCTTTTACTTCGCGCGTATTTCGTACGTGTTCAAATTGCGATGTGATCAGGTGAACGCGTACTGAAAATAAAAGTCCGTTTACCCTCGCGAGTATGTTCTCCGGTCGATTTATTTAAATGCGCGCATATACAAAGCACTTCACTGTAAGCACGCGCGTGTGTTTGTATGTGCACATGTAGAAACGCTATACGTATCAGGTGGTGGGGACTGTGAGTGCGGGTGTGTGTGGGTGTGTGTGTGTGCGTGTGGTGCTCTCAAGAGAGAGTAGAGGGATTTCTTATTTCTGCTCTGGTAAATCTGTCGCTCCAGTCAGTGAGGCAGCGAAGGGTGAGCCGCGCATCATTGACTGTGTCTGTGCTTCTTTTTGTTTTTTTTTATTCGTCTATTTAGTTATGCAGTTTCACTGTGTAGTACACGAGCAAGACGGTGCGATGCGATAGTTCGCGAATCCGTGATCTCCTGCGTGCTCTCTCGCGCGTAAATATTTTTTGTCATCAGCGTGTCGCGTTTTCTTATCACCGTTGCTCTTCGTCGTTGCACCTGTCGTCGCACCCTGCGGCATCACGAAAACCGATTTCGTCAGTTACCTTTTCATCCCTCCCTCCTCCTTGGTTTCTTTCTCGTCTAAATGTGTATTTCGTGTGCAAGCCGCGGCTCGCGATTGTCATTACGATTTTTCGAAAAGTTGCACCGTGATAATAAATGTGCAACTATATTCGCAACATGTGTTCGTCGATATCGTACCGCAATTTTCGTGTAAATTCGCCGCGACCCGTTGTGTGTTTGCTGTCGTGTATTCACAGGTCATGAGGTATCGGGAAAAAAATTGTGGGACAAAAACCAGAACATTGATCGTATCGCGATATCACGGCGGTTTGAACAAAACTATTTGATTTTAAAACTTTGTGTAACGTCCTCATGATCTCGCGCACGTATCACGTGATTAAATTTTGAGCTTTTGCAACTTCGGTTTCGCTATTGCAGTATTATTTATATTGTCACTTGTATTATTTTACACAAAACTTACAACAACTGTGTGACTCAACAATTAAAATCAACAAATCGTCGTTCTCACACGTTGTGCGCGCAAGAGAAAATTGTGTTTCGTCGAAAAGACGTTATCTGACAAAAATGTCAACAAAATTGTAGGCTTAAATGTATATTGCGTGTATGTATGTATACGTTTGAAAAACCGCGCACGGCGAAACTCCCGTCTCCCATGTAGCCGACGGCTGGCGAACCCGCACGTCTTTTCCAATGGACTCGATCATGCTAGGTGAGCATAAATTCATTTTCATCAATCAAAAAATTACGCCAGTGTACGTGGCTTACGTAAACACTGCGTAAATATAATTGTTTTGTGCACATTTATCGCGTGCACGTCAACAGCTTCGAAAAAAATTGATCGACGGACGACTGACTGTGTGTTAAAACCGCGTCAACTTTTGCACACTTTGATCTTACATATACACAGAAAGCTTTGGATTTTGCTTAATAATTGCATTGTGGAAAATTTTTCTGCAATTTATGTTAAATCTTTGTGACGAGTATTCTTTTTTTAACGCGTTGCGAGAGAAAGTGTCGCTTTAACAAATCTGTCGCAGTAATCAAACAGCGCATTTACAGGCGTTACATAAATTATTAAAAATTGTTGACACGATGCAGAAAGCAATATTTATTATGTTCGTTCAGTGATACAAACGCGAAAACACATCTCGAAGAAATCAGAAAACTCGATAAACAAGTCGTTAATTAGCTTCAAAATTCACGGGGTAGATTGCAATCGTATATTTTTCTAGATTCAAATCTCTCATTTTTCGAGCAGTCTGTTTCGCAATCTCTCTCGCTCTTATTCTTTTCTACAAGTGCACAAAAGTTACGTGTTATTTTCTACGGTGTTCTGTAAACGAATTGATATAATTACGTATACACGATACGATGTGTTCATTCATAGAAAGCATGCTGTATTCATTTCTTGAGTAGGAAACCTTTGACCCTCTTATTAGGTCCCGGATGCCTCCGTTCTTATCGCTGGCTGAGATTTTGTCATCTTTTTTTAATCCAGAGCCGATTATCGTAAAAAAATTGTAGGATGTGAGACAAGGAAGAGAAGAATTAAAAAAGATGACAAAATTAATAATTTTGCGCATACTATTGTCTAGTTGTTATTGTTGTTATCATCGAACAGAGAAAGAGAGATAATTATTTCATAGATACATAACGCACGTAATCGGCGCACATGTATGTACCAAAACCGTGCACGCTTTTGGTTATAAACAAGTACAGCGTATAATGTTTGGGACAAACCGTTACGTGAAATAGAGCGTTGAGTTTATTTTCGGATGTAATCTACTTCAGATGTACGGTCATCTACGAAATAAAACTCGGAACAATAAGCTGAGAAATAATTCAGACCGCAAATAATTGTAAATAAATGTTTGTCGGTTTCTCTTCTGTAGTAATTTTAAATTGTAAAAAAATGTTCTAATTTGAGTGAAAGAGAAGAGAGAGAGAGAGAGAGAGAGAGAGAGAGAGAGAAAAAGAGAGAAAGAATATACACTTATATCAAACACTTGTTGAGATAAAGTGAAATTCGAGATGTGACAGGCAGTTCAGTAAACCATGACGCACTCACAGATTATGAAGATGTAGCAAGAAAGTGTAACTCGCGAATGCAAAAAAATAATGATTATTCATGTAAACTTGTTATTTCTCTAGTCGCCGTTCATTATTCATAATTCAGAAATAAACGGAGCACAATCAGCACAAGTTTTTTTTTCTCCCGCTCTTTAGCTGCTTGTTGCAATGCATGCGATTAAAGTTCTGTCATAAATCGCAGCACTAGTGTAACGTTACGCGCGTGTACACGTAATGTAATAAAACGGAATTGAAAACAAAACTGCGGCATTTAATTAAAAATCAAGTAATAAGTTGCGAATAATTTGCCAGAAGAAACGTAGGCACAACTTGTGAAAAATAGAACAAAAAAAAAAAATAAATAAATAAACAAGCGGATCGTACTTTAAAATATAATTATTTATCGGTTTCTCTCGGAACGTTAACAATATCCGAAGTCAATGACACTAATACATCTCAGCGCGAGCGCGTAACTCTCGCTCGTGCTATTACAGTTCAAGACCCTGATATGTAATGCCGATGCATTGAAACGTAAAAGCGAGATAAAACATTCGACATTTTAAAGTCGTCAAGTCATGCGTACAGAACGTACATAATTGACGATTTATTAATAAAGGTATTATTGTACTTATCTGCAATTGTTAACCTAATATATTGCACGATATTATTATAAAGATGTAATACTTCGCAATGAAGCAATAAGCGATGTGAGAATTAATCTATAACTAGTCCAAGTTGTCGATTATTTTCGCGTTTCATTTAATTAAAAGTAATAAAACCGTGATTTCAAAAAAAAGCGCGCGCGCACGTGTGTGTGTGTGTGTGTGTGTAGAATTGTATCAGGATTGCACGTGTAATTGTATACTGTAAAAAAATGTAGAAAGAATAAACGTAAATATTACATCATTAATGGTGTAATGAAAAAATAATGTATAACTTTTTACGCACGAACAGTTTTGTAAATATTTTCACTCGTTAAAATTTTACATATTTTTTTTAAATGATAAAATACATATTACACAATTTTTTGTTGTACAAAACAAATGTACAACGTCAAGACACGTTACGTTATTTTACGTTCACGTGTAAATTTGTAACGCGTTTGGAAAGTTACAACTAAGTGTTGTGTTAGTCTCGATATCTACTTTGTTTGTTATAAATTACGTCTACATTTTTGCAGTGTACAATTACACGAGAAAGAGAGAGAGAGAGTATCTGGAACGGAATGCTGCTAAAATTTATTGTTATTACCGGGGTTTGTTCGTCAGTGCATTTCATGCGTGTAAGAGCTTTCACGCGCAATTAACACTCGTAATGTTTAATTTATTTACGCGCGCGGTAAATAAATCGCGCGCCCAAGCAATTTTAGTCTGACCTCTTGCGATACAATCGAACTCAGAATTGACGAGTCGGGGAAGAGTTGCGACTTTATCAGCAAACATTTTTAGAGTTTAGCGAAACAGTGTGCCAGGTGCTTCGCGAGATGTATGTAATATCTATACATGCAGAAGAACAAAAGAGACCGTTACCGATTTATTAGTGTTCAATTAGTACTGTTTGTTTTGGTTAAACAACAAATGCAGCTTTTAAAAATGTATTGAAACAAGGCTTGTAGTCCAGTTGACAGAGGACTGTGCAAACAATAACGCGCTGGCTGCCGGAATTTTTCTTTGCTACCTACCTAAACCGAATGCATTCAGTCGCGCTCGAGAGATCGAGAACTAAAAGAAATTTGTTACTAATTACATACGTGTATTCGCACTCACATCACTTTGAAATAACATTTACGGAGTTATTTCTCTCTTTCTTTTTCTCTCTTTCTCTGTGTAATTTTTTATTTAATTTTCATATATAATATATATATTTTATATAATATATATTATTTTTTATTTATTTATTTATTTTTATTTCTGCGAGATTTGTAATACGCGCAGAAATAAAAATAAATAAATAAATAACAAACAGAGACAAAATCGAAGGTTTAAAATACACAGTATTTAATAAGTAAAGTGCAAAAGAAATTGATTAAAAGCTGAAGATATATTTTGAGAGAGAAGACGAATACATATATATATATATATATATTGTTCCTCTCTCGGGATTTTATTTTCCCCCACTCGTACGCAACACTCTATTTTGTCACGAATACACGCGCACTCATAATTACGACGGTCCGAACTTAACGAATTTTTACTTTGAATTGTTGCCGCGCGCTCTTTATTCCCCTGGTGTGGCTCCGTCGGACTTCTTATATTACACGGTCCAGACATATGTGTATATATCTTTCCCAAGGCAATGAAGAAAATAACAGATCGATGAATGAAGGAGAGAGAAAAGAACAAAAGGTGTGTGACCCATTACCGGTTAGGAGCAGTCCGAGAAAAAGCAAAAGGAAAGGGGGAGGGAATATTGCGCGCCCATAATAGGCACGATCGATCGTGATTGATTCACCGGACTTCTTGATTAACTCTTCATCTCGAGTCATGTGCTTATGCGCTTTGGCTTTTGACGGCCTTATACGATTTCACAAATAGTTCCTCACCGGCCATTTCGCGTTTTGTTTTTGTTCGGTAATTTAAATTACATGCATATATGTTTGGTGTTTTACTCTCTCTCTCTGCTTCACCATTGCAAGTAATTTCCCGAGAGCTTTTTTCTCTCGGATATCTAAATATATCGCGTAGTTTCTTACCGCGAAAAGTTGCGAAAAGTTTGCGTACAAAATCGGGACGAGAGAAAATCGATAATTCGACAAAATCAACGCGAATGATCACCTTGTCACAAACGTGTCACAAAGCGATAATATTCATTTTTTTGCAGCGCATATTGAGAACAAAAATCCTATATTTTCGAACACATTTGTTGATTCTCATTAACTTGCGTGATTTTACATGATTTTGCTTTCAATCGAACGAAATGTCACAAGCGAACACGCAACAGGCTGCTCGCGATCGGCTTCGAAAAATGTTTCATCTCTTTGAAAGTTTCTTAGTTTAGCGCGTTCTTACAAAAGAGAGGACCGGAGAACGACTAATTTGCGAGGGAGAGTAGGACGAGGGTGAGACACGTTGCGTTTTTAAAGTGCGAAAAGTATTTCTTCTCTTTCTTCTAAGCGAATATGTGCTTCGCGTCAAAGAGCGAACTAATCTGCGACATGTGTGTCTAAAGTAACTGTGTGAGCGCGGAAATTGAAATCAAAGATTCACATTTTTATTAACGTTGTCGGAACCGACAAAGGGAACGACGACGGTGTCCATAATTAGCGGGTTAGATGGTAGACAAACATTAGTTGCTTTTCTGTGATACCTATGTAAGCGAAACATGTGTTTCGAGGGTGACACTGACATTCATCACGCGCGTTTGAACACGCCTACTTCGTGTCACGTTGTGCCTTACGCAGTTTTAACTTTTCCCTCCGTACCGTTTTCTTAAATTTGTATTTTAACTTGTATCTCGTTTTGTAGAAATCTCGTTTTGTACGTATAAATACGTATTTGTGTGCAACAAATGCGTAAATATGTTATTTCGATGTGCGTATGCGCGTAAAAACAATTCAAAATTTTCGAGTTACAGGCCGATAAAAAGTTTTCGAAAACACGGTTGAAATATTTGTTTTGTTAAAGTAACACAAAAAAATAA